TCTGCAATGCTGATATAGATCTAATTAGGAGGAAAACACGAGTGGCAGGTTAAGGGAGAGAAGTCCTAGATCAGATCTTTAGACTGGAAGATCTCTGGAGGCTTTGGTCAGACTGTCATTGTTCAAAGCTGTGAGGAAGAGGCCTGGGAAGAAAAAAAATTACTGACTTGTGTTATCTTTCAGCTACTGCACTGCTTTTCAATTCAGACAGACTTGTAAAAAACCCAAAGACTCATATTTTTAAAAGTAATTGAATTCTTGAGATGTGAGAAAGCAAAAAGATAGATCAGAGGAAGAGAGGAAAATTAATATTATGGAATAGTAATTTAGGAATGGGATGTTAAATTGGGCTTCAGGGAATAATAAATTTTGTATTAATGTACCATGTATTCATGTAAAATGAATTCATTTATATTTCTTTTTACAGTTATAGACCTGTGCCTGGAGCAGATTTTAGAGTTTCCCAGCTCAAGTGACAGCAGCCTCATTTCTCTTAAAGATTTAGAGTTGTGAGAAAAAGGTCATCTTTCAGTTGCTGGCAGGTACCAAAGTGCTGGGAACTTGGATGGGACAACAGGATGTCTGGAGGCAGGGAGCTGCAGAGTGTGTGATTGCCATCAGTGTGCTGTGTAGCAAAGCAATACAATCCATACAGGCAGAGCAGATGACTAGTGTAAGTAATTTAAAAATGGACATTCTTGAGAAGCATCTCTTTAACTCTCATCCTTGTGAGAACACTGCAAATGCAGAGTTAAAGCTATTATGCAAGTGAGGATACCAAGTGTGCACGATGCTACTCATAGCAATAAGGAGGCATTAGCTCAGATCCATAACCACACCAGAGTAAATAGCAGTTGATGTTAGTAACAGAAAAAGAAATTGCACTTCTGCTTTTGCCATCAATAGGATTAGCATGCGGATAACCTTTGGCAAGAAATTAACTTCCCAGAGACTCCTGAATTCACAAACATACGTCATGTACCTTTTTTCTCTCTTTTTTTTTTCAATAATCGGATTGTTTTCAGAAGCAATGATTATACAGAAAACTAATGAAACAAACTCTGAAGCCCTACACAAGTTTATCATATTATGTATCTATTATTATTTAACTTGGGTTTAAGTAACACAACAGGGGAAAAAAAAGTGTTTCAAGTACACATCTTTTAAAGAGCTACCCAAATGAGGCACTTTCAGGCAGTCAAGTCCAGTGTATAGTTAAAACTTTCTCATAATTTTCCCACCCCTGATTCTCAGTTTCATGAAGTTGGTGGAAAAGCTGCAAGTCCCAGGGAATTTTAGATCATGGTCCTGGCATTTGGTTGACCCTGGGCTGGTAAAAGCTAGAACTTGCATCATGCCAGAGCGATGGAGCTAGCCCGGGGGAAACCTGCGGAGGCCTGGGCAGTGGCTATGCACGTCCCCTTTGCAGAAGAACAGCTTGTCCTCACCTGCAGGTGTTAACTCAGGGTGTTTGCCAACTCCCAAGTGCCTCTTAACAGGTGGCTTGTGTAGCTGAAAGGTAACCTTGGCCCAGACAACATTTAACAGAGCAACACTATTGCCACAGTCACCACAACTGGGTTTGCCCTGCAGTGCATGCTAGCAGCTCCTAGTATCAATCTTTGAGTATGTAGGTTTGTAGGATATAATTCATCAGCATGTGCTAAAATAATTAGTTGTTGCTTCACTTAACATGTCTGAATTTGCAGCTTAAGCTATAGGGAGAACACAGCCATTTTTCCTTTCAAAAAAAATCAGTTGCACTTGTCTGAGTTGTTGAGCCCATAACAGTAACTATGGCCTGAGTTACAGGCAAACAGCTAATTCACGCCCTGAAACACAACAAACTCCATGGCTTTCATTATTGTGTTATTTTTTTTCTGCTGCAAAAAACCTGCAAAATCTCCACTTCCAATCCTCTGCTTTTCTCTTTTATTTGATTTTTGAACTTCTAGGAAAAAAGGCATTTCCCCAGAGCAGCCCTGAGCAGCCCTGAGCACTGGAGCACTGCACACCATCTTGGTGAGCACAGATCCCCTCAGCACAGATGCACTTTCCTATGGGCTTCGTCTGCCCCTGTCCCTCACACGCTGGCAGCAGGACAGCATCTGAGACACCAGTGAGCTCAATGTGACTTTCCTTGGGACTGTTTGTAGCGCTGATGATGATATCATGGGGAAATTAACCAAACCAAACCAAAACCAAGAAAAGGCTTTAGATGTGCAAAGAGCCCAAATGCCAGGTCAGGACTCCTGCTTTTGAGCATTTGCAGCAAAAACACTTACCGCAAATCTCACTATGATACAACAGATAACGTCACTAGTGGTGCTGTAGTCTTTCAATATATACAGTTTGTTTAACTGGTAATAGTTTATTTAAATATAGTTCTCAACAAAACAGAGCAATAATCAGAGACATAGCAAAATCCAGAAACAAATCAAGACTGCTAGTTAAATAATTAATTAGCTTACATCACAACAGAGTTTCTCCTGAGCCTGGTAAGACACTTCAATTGGAAGTAGAATGGTTTTGAAGCTCTTTTCAAACCCAAAAAGAAAAGCTTCATTCTAACTACTCAGGGAGTTTAAAAAGTTCACAATTTTGAGCTTTAGTCTCAAAAGAAAAATATCCATTCAGGCTGAGAAATTTAGCTCATTTGATGTTGAATCATTTATCGCATTTTAAGTTGGGGTTTTTGGATGGGAACAAAATGAACAAATAACAGGAGTTTAGAAACAGATGGAGATTTTGTTTGGTCTTTTCTTTTTTCTTTCTTTTTTGTGATGCCTACTTTTGTGACATAAATAATACCGAAGCTTTCAAAGTCCTAGAGCGTCTCTCCAATTGACGTGGGTTTTGCTTTACCTCTAATTAAAACTTGGAATAATAGTTTCCCACTTAGCATCATACAGAGTAACTTTCTTTTAAAATCAATATTTTCAGATGTTAGATGATAAAAATCACTTTGAGATCAACACTTTCTGTGCTGCATTAATTAGCAGAAAAGCCAATGAATGCACTTCTGTGGTAGAAATCGATAATCTTGAAAACTGAAAAGGTCTCTTTTGCCACCAACTCACTTTCACGGGTGTAGCTAACAATGCGAAATGTCAATGTACAAGAAAAACGCTGTCTCCTCTCTTCTACCAGGTGCTGGTAGTATATGCATACATGCCTTAGTGCTCTTGAGAGTAAAAAAGCTTACATTATCCAGTAAAGGAAATAAAATTCAATGGCATTAAGAAACAGCTAATCTAATATATACATTAAAAAGTATTTATGTATTACCTTCCTTTGTTCTGCAACAGCTAGTTTTTTCTAGTAGCTGTAAACTTAACTAGGTGCTAAGCCTGGTTAAATAGAAAATGGAATAAAGGACTGCATTTTCTGTTAGAAAAGTATTAATGGCAGTGCAGGGAACTTGAAAAAGGGTAAAACTGTTTTCAAGTGCAGGGATGGAGGTGGCCTGAGTGAAGCACAGCCCTTCCTCACTGTCCTGAGATGGCAGGATAGTGCCAGGGATGGCTGTGTCTGTGGATGACATGAAGGAAAACCAGGGCTTTAGTTTACTCCTACCTAGACTTGTTTATTCAAAATTCAGACCTGTCACAGGATCTGACCGACTCTGCTTGTCCTCGTGGAGGAAAATGTTGGTACAAGTTTGTTCCTGAAGAGCTCTTCAATCTCTGAGAAAATAATTAAGAGAGAAAGCCCATTTGGAGAGGTCTCTGGCATGTTACATGAGTAGCATTATGGGAAGTAAATGAGGTGGCACTCCATTCAGTAATTGCACCAATGCTGGACAATGGGTTGGTTTGCAATTGCTACTGCTTCTGTAACACAGGCATAATAAGCAACAAAACCTCACTGCTAATTGCTGAGGGTAGATTCTCTAAGATACAGGTTAATTCAGTTAGCCATAGAAAATAGCTTGACAAAAAAGTAACATTTATCTGGCATCTGTTGTGAATGTGTTGTGAATAACCAATAATTTGCAGTATTTTATTATGCAGCATATAGCCTCTTACTGATTTCCTCTCAGCTACTGTTTTAAAACTAATCTTTTACACGGTTTTCTCTTAGTAGTTCTTTTGAACCTAAAAATCACAATTACTGCCTAATTCGATAAGCTTCTACTTGTAGAGGTAGCCCTTAATGCCACTGAAATCAGGGGAAATAATTTCTAAAGCAAGAAATGGTTATGTGAAGATGGGGACTGGACCCATCTGTTCCCAGAGTTCCCAGGCTGGGGCGATGGGGGCAGGCCCGTCATGTTTCCATTTCTTGAATTCCCTGTGCTATCCTGAGGAAATCCTGCACATTTCTTCCATCTAAAACAGAGATTACAATACCTGTTAGATTAATGTATATTTGCCTAGTGCCTTAAGGTCCTCTGATGAAATGTGATTTGTAGTTGAAAGGATCACACGCTAGGCCGTGGTTTTGCCTGCTGTGACCTGCAGACCTGCTGGCGGCTTCATCCTACCCTGGTCCCATCAGGCCCATTTCCATCCACACATCAATCCGCGTACAGGAAACAGCTTCCTGGAAGTGCCTGGTTTGGCTGGGAGGAGCCTGTTTTTAAATGCAGCAACCCAGCAAACAATAGGCTAGAAAAGGCTTGACCAGTAAAGGTAACTGCTTGTGCATTTCATCCTATCAAAACTCAGCGGTACTTGACGACTTAGGGTGAAATCTGGTCCTACTGACATTCATGGCCTTTTGAAGTTTCTTTTGAAGTTCAAGGTCCTTTTGAAGTTTTCCCAGAACAGTAAGGCAAAGACACAGAGAAGATGAATGAATCCCCTCCACATCTAAGTAATCAAATACACAACAAATGGTAAAAGGCAGAGCCACCTTCCAGAAAATGAAAGCATTCACCACACCGCCTTATTACCTATGCAGAGCTCCAGATGAGTCGACTGCTAGGATGGACTTTGCCTCCTCATTTCCATCCTCACGGGGATGTCTTAACTTGTAATCATTAATGAACTATCCCTGTAATGGAAGGGTGACTGTACAGTCTGGGTATCGTTCAGAGCTGCCTTGGGAAACCAGAAGTTACCGAAAATGTCAAGTAGGTATCACAAAGCAGCAGCCGATGGCAATTTGGACCTCTTGAAAGAAGCCACTAAGAAAGACCTCAACACTTCAGATGAAGATGGGATGACGCCCACCCTTCTGGCAGCATACCATGGGTATCTAGAAGCTCTGGAAGTCATATGCCGGAGGGGGTAAGTGAATCAGCCTCCATTGCTTAAAGTTTGTGGCTTAAAACTATAATTAGCGTGTCATTTTTCTAATGCCCTGATGACCACAGACCCAAAAGGCTGAAAATCATGGTCATTTCTTTCAATGCATTGCCAAGAACTGTTTCTCCTCATTCACAAAGGTTAAGGCTCCAAACCTGCGAGCAGGTCTGTCTGTATATGAGGTTGGTGAAGCCACATCAACATCAGCGAGACCGTCTCATATATGGAGTCTGCAGGGATAGTTAGTAGGAGCAGGGACCTGGGACCTCGCCTTGCTGTAATGGAGGAGAAGTTGGCCTACAACCTTTGATGTTAATATATCTTTGAAACTGGCTCTGGAGAAATGTTTCTAGCAAAAAATCTCTCCTATGTGCTTCCAAAGTGCAGTTCGTAGACACCTGTGAAGGTTTAATGTTTTCCAGAGGCAAGTCACAACCAATAGTTTTGAAACAGTACCATTTAAAGTTGTTATTTCTCTGCTTTTTATAGTATTAGCAACTACCATCATACAAAAAATGATAATACTGTTTCAGAAGCTGCGGTATGATACTTGCAAACCAGAAAAAAAAAAAGAAAAAAGAAAAAAGAAAAGGAAAATTTTCTACAGGTTGATTTTCCAATAGTAATATTTCTGTTTGGTATCATTTAGATGTCCTACATCTTAAAAGGTATTATTGAAATGGTAATTACCTCCCCACCCTCTGTACTCTCTTGCTCAGAGCCTACCTTTTAAGCTGTAATTCTTTAATAAGATCTAATAAAAGAAAATCTGCTCTTGTGTAGAGATATAGCTAATAAAATATTCTTTCTGGGCTGAGATGAAGATTAAGTTGACCTGTATTTTCAATCATAATAGCTTAAAGAAGATTGGAGGGAGAACTTGAATAACTATTTAGATGTATCTGAGTTTTCTTTTACTAAAAATAGAATTGAAAATATGGAATAAAAATAGGGTTTTAGTAGACTTCCTTTATAACACATTGAGCTTAGGTGTGGCAGTAATAACACAATAAAAAAGACCTTTGGACTGCATGGTGCATGGTTATTGCTGTGTCCTCAGGAGAAGCAAAAAGAGATTGACAGTTTTTCAACTTGTATAATTAAGGCAGCTCCAAGGAAATATCTAGAATCAATAAAGGTTTGTCTCTGAACACCTAGAAGAAAGAACAACTAACTAAGGAACAAATAACAATATATTTTTTTTCAAACTTTGAGTGCAAAATATGTCTTCTACCGTATAAGTCGTTAGAAGACACAGCAGATGACACAAAGATCAGAATGTCTATATATCTGTTATTTAATATATTTCTAACTCTTTTTCTTGGTAGAGGACAGCTTTGGGACAGTATTGTCCTCCAAATCTTCGAACATATGCATTCACCTCTATTTTAATCCAAGATCCCTTGACACAATCAGCAGGCTCGGGCTGCCAAAGATATGGCTGTAGTCTTACTGGTTTTTTTGGGAGAAGCTGAATTTTTGAAGATGTTCAATCTGTTGTGCAGTCAGTTAATGTTTGCTTGTGAGAAAGTATTATAATTATTTTTAACAAACTCATCGTTTTGTTGAAGAGGTTTCCTGACAAAGGCACTGAGATACAGAATGGTTTTCTTCAGAGTGGTTGCAGATTTTAGGACTCTGAAGCTTGCAACACATTCAGCGCTAGGAAAATGTAGCAATACTAACAATAAATCCTTTCATCTTGAACGAGTCTCTCTTCCCAGGCATCAAGAGACATTTTCTCTGCTTGCTTTGCAGGTACATGAATAAAGGCAAGACCAAGTAGCAGATCTGCTCTCTTTTGTGTGAGCCTCTTTCTTGGGAAAGCAGGGAAAAGAGGAGTATGAGAACCCAAAGTAAATGTCAAACCTTATCCAAAGCCCCACTGAGCTGGGAACAGACCCTCCAGTTTGTGAATTGTTTGAGTCTCAAAGGCTGGCAGGCTCCAGGGAGAAAAGAGACCACAAACAGCTATGAAGGGACCTGGGGGAGGATGGATGACCCGGCACTCCCAAGGCTCAGGATAATGCAGCCTGTTTGCTAATGTGGGAATTAAGGAGTCTGTCACGCTCGGCCACAGCCAGGCAGTTCCCCAGGGCAGAGCCACAAAAGCAGAAATATGTACACATGGTTTCCATATGTCTAAGTGGAGAAACTTTGATCCTCAGCTGCCACCTCCTTGCAGAAATGCCTGTGCTCTCGTAGCCTGGAACGCTCAGAGTTGCCATTGTTTCTCAATGCGAGCAGCTCTGCGTCTGGTCTCTGCGGGGAACCCCGGGCTCTCTCTTGCCTGTGGCCTTTCAGGCTGAACGATGTTTTCAGATTTGGCCCTCAACAAATATATTAGTGCTTGGCTTCAGAGATACTCAAAGCCAGAGATCAAGGCCTGAAGGAGATTTTGAGATAGGACGTACCATAGTACAGCTGCTGTGGAACAGACCTCCAAGTTATTGAAATGCTCAGACTTTGGCCCCTTGCTCTGAAGTTATTAAAGGGTTTGGGCTACTGTGGCTGCCTTGGTTACTGGTCACAGATGACTCAAGCTCTGTTCTGAACCACTGCTAATGTTGATTCTGCCAATTATGGAATAAAAGATTTGAGCTAATTCTCGTCTGCAGGCAACAGTTCAGTGTGAAGTCAGTGCAAGAGTTAAAAAGAAAGCAATACTTTTCACTGGCTTTAAATTCAATTGAAAATATGTGGTATTTTATTTTCAAATGAGCTTCTGCTTTTCAAACCCCATGAGCAAAAGCAGCTTAAGAACAAAGAGCTGAAAAAAACCAACAGCAGCTAGCTGAGCTTAATCTAATAGCGATGGAGACAAATGTGTAATCAGGGCTTTACTCTTAATCATTTACCTATTACCTACCAAAAAAGTTACTGCATGGGCTCATTTAATATGTATCACTGTGGCCAGTGAAGAGCCTTCCTAATATTGCCACGCAAAAGGGAAGAGTCACCATAAAGTCTTTAAAATGCTCCATGCAAAAGCTATTGAAATGGTTCTGCCGTTAATTCCATTGAGTGTAAGTGGAAGCCTGAGCCCACTTGGAGCTGTCAGCAGCAAATCAGTCAGAGCTGCAGCCCCTCAACTGTGCACGGGTGGCTGCTTTTATCTGCCCTATTGCAGGAGGCAGGTGAGATCAGTGGGGAGCAAAGCAAGCCCTGCCAGACCCAGGGATGACACAAAGGAAATACCCTGGCTCTGTTAAGGCGAGTTGCATGAGCAGTCACAGTCAGCCCCAAAGAGCTGGCTTAATTCATGGCCAGGCAGGAATTAGAGTTCATGCCACACATGCAGCCACAGTGCTTGGGTACGTAGGTGCAGCGCCGTTGTAGAAGACAGAGCTAAGCTGACTCATTTTCTTTGGGCTGTACTTCTCCTACCAAAGCAGAGCTAAATGTTTAGTATCTGTTCAGTCCCACTGAGGTGCTATGCCTGGGTATGTGCAGCATACCTGCAGCTCACTGAATGCTCTTTTCCTTCTCAGAGGTGATCCGGACAAATGTGACATCTGGGGGAACACCCCTCTCCACCACGCCGCTTGCAATGGTCACATCCACTGTGTTTCTTTTTTGATCAACTTTGGTGCCAATATTTTTGCTCTGGACAATGACCTCCGCACTCCCCTGGAGGCAGCTGCCAGCAGAGACCGCAATGAATGTGTCCGAATCCTGGACAAAGCTGCTACCGAGCAGAACATGCTGAATCCAAAGAAGGTCTCCAAACTCAAAGCACAGGCCCAGAAGAATGTGGAGAAACAAATCAAGGAATGTGAGAAGCGCCAAGAGAAACACCAGCATGAGATGAACCGGAATTATATGAAAGAAAAGGTTGGCACAGTAAATTCTTCCCAAGGGACACACTCCAGAATAAAGCTGCCTGGTCTCTTTGCTTCAAATACAACAAATTCTTTCTCCAAAAATCTGAAAGATACCCTCAAACTTAAGGCAAAAAAGACAGCTGACAGCACAAGAAGCCAGAAATCACAAAGCAGCAGCCAAGATGATGGTATGGGTAGGACAAGTGTGATGCATTTGTTCGATGAGAAAGAGGAGGATGAATTACTGAATGACGTTGGAGAGAAAAACTTTTCTGATGACAGTCAGCTCTCCATTTTTAAGCGGCCAGGTCTTGGCAAGATTGTATTTGGAAGGAATTTGGCTGCAGATGTAAATCCTGAAACTGTATCTTCTGAGACAGAAGGTGTAAGCTTTAAAATGTCCAGCGAGCTCTTCCAGCATGAAAATGCTGAGAATGGCAGGGAAGATAGTGCTGAAAATGGTGCCGATATCCCTTGGCATGAAGAAGCCATTTGGGATGATGAGGAAGCAGAGAACACACCCCTTGAGGTATTTCTGGCATCACAGATGCTGGATGAGTTTATTCCAGTCTTCATGAGGGAAAAAATTGATTTAGATGCCCTGATGCTATGTTCTGATGAAGATCTACAGAGCATTCAGATAGAGCTTGGGCCAAGAAAGAAAGTCCTGAATGCCGTGAATAAAAGAAAAGAAGCACTCAAGAACCCTGGAAAGACTGTAGATACTTGCTTATAAATTAACATACCTGGTGCTGTAACCTGCACACTGATTCATTATCTTTTCCTCTTACCAAAAAAGCATGCTATTCTTTTTGGACATCTGCTAAAGCAAAAGGCAGAGAGGTTACCAATTGCTTTAGAAAGTGCAGCAAGGATACAGATTTTCCTCTCTGGATTGATGGCTGTGGTGTGCAGTATATTAATTCAAGCATATTCTGCCAAAAAGAAAGAATGTGAAGGTTAAAAACCAAAAGCTATAGATTTAAGCCTCTTTTTCCCTGAACTGTTTGTGGTGATCAGATTTATTCTCACTGGAATAACTTAAAATATTAGTGAAAGCCAGCTCCACACTACATTCCTTTGTAAAGCCCCTCCCTTCATCTCCAAAACCACAATGCAAAGAGCATTCCCAAAGCTTCAGAGCTTTGAGTTTTCTCCCTTCACTTCTGTGAGATTGCTACAAACTGCCCTTCCTGGTACTGATGATATGTTAGAAATAGCATCTGAATCTTGATTTCAGCTCTGGCTTATTGAATCTAATAGCCTCTGAATGAGTGCAAATAAGACTAATTTACAGCAAGTTTCTTGTTCTTGTCAGCAAAGTGTTTTGCTACTGTATTAATGTTAATTTAAAAATATATGAAGTATCTTGCCAGATGTTCAGTGTCTTGTATATTCTTTTCTCATGTCTCACTTGACTACACCCAGTTGCCAGCACCCATCGTGACCTGAATGGCATCAAGACCACAATACATTTAACTGCAAGAAGCTGAGATTTTATTTTCACCATTTTTGATCTGTTTTGGAATATCCACAGGTTGGTTCCTATAGGAAGCATTTGTCACGTCAAGTCCCCAAAACCAGAACTCTTATCACTCAACATTTTCTATCAGTGTTGTCAGCCTTTGTCTGAAAATTGTGTGTAACACACACACCCAGCTCATGAAAAGAGAAAGAAAATGAGACTGTGCTTCTGTGGAAGCAGTCCACAGTCTATCTGGAGGCATTCACAGCAGGGTTCCCTTCATCTCTCTCAGGCCTGTTCCCCTGGGAAGACAGCACTATCTGATATGAATTAATCACTCCTGTTGAGTTTTGTGAATCTAATAAGGTGCTTGTAGCAGTCTTGCTCTGCCTGAGATCTCAGATTTTAGAAGGGCAATTATTAGCAATACTTTCATCTTTAAATCTCTTTTTATAGGTTTCCATTAGTCAGCTATAATTTTTTCCCTTAAGGGTATACTGCATTTACAGCCACTGATCCTAGTGGCTAATCATCTATTTTTTCATGCTTCCTCCTTCCCATATCCTCTCCATGTTACTTTGATTTGCATATTATAATTCCTTCTCTTGCCTGGACTTTATACTGCATTCTTTCCTCCTTGGATTCCTATGCTTCAGCAGGTTGGTATTTTCCTCCATCAAGCAGTCACATCAGAGTCCTGTTCTGTGCAACCTTAAATGGCTGCTGTGCTTAGCACAGTAATTAAATCAGACAGTGTGCCCCCAGGCTCTATGCTATTAACCTGCTGAGTTGTTTTCATTTTAGCTAAGAAATTCCCAAATGTTTAACAAAGCAAGAAGGAAATGATGGATCTTACATATTTGAAGGTGTATGATGAGTGGATACGGAAGGGTCAAATCCTTTCATTCCCAGTCACATAAATGACACAGTTGCTGCCCAAATGCTTGTGACCCACCCCCAACACAGCACCAAAACATCAGCAAGTGGTGTCACTCAGAACTTGTCCAATTACCGCCATTATCACAGAACAGTTTCAGTAGTTCTGTGATAAGCCCCAAGTATCTCCAAATTGCACTGAAATTCTCCTCCTCATCTGTAAATCTGCCAACCCAAGTATCTCCAAATTGCACTGAAATTCTACTCCTTTGCATCCTCATCTGTAAATCTGCCAAACTGCTGTGACCTCTGAGTACCAGAGGTAATGGCACAGACTATCTGCACAAAAACTGATTGACTCTGTCACAAGCATCCAGCAGGTCCTTAGGAATCCACAGTAACTCTTGGAGCAAAAAAACTCCAAGATCTATGGGACAAGTTCCTTGGACTTCTGGAAGAGAACTGCATTCTGAGACTGAGTAAGAAGCCCCACAGCACCCCACATGCCACTTAGTTTAGTTAACTGAATCAACCCCAATATATATATACACGCACACCCATTTAAATTAAATTAAATATATATATATATACACACACACCCTTTTAAATTAAATTAAAAAAAAAAAACAACACACAGAAGAGTGCAATAGTGCTAGTCCTTTTCTTGCAGGGTGGTCCTGGAAATGGGCCTCTGGTATAAAGCAGTCATGTAGAACAATTGGGGGAAAAACAATAAAAAGGAACATCCACATTTCAGTTCTTTCCACTTATGTGCTTTGCTGTTTTCCAAATTAATTTTTTTTTTTTTTTTTTTTTTTACACAAACCCCTTTGTGTTTTTATGATTAAAAGTATTTAAATTAGTGAATCCCAGATCTGACTCCTTAGTAACATTTGTACAGTGCAGTTCAGTTGGAGACACTTAATGTATCAATCTTATAACCCAATCCAACCCAAATCATAAAACCATGGGATTTCACATGATCTCAGTCCTACCAAGTACAAGATTCTCCTTACTTAAGGATTTAATAATCTACACTGGACAGACATCAAGAGGAGGGAACATGCAATACAGGATAATGACTTGCAAAACTGAGTACCACAGTGGAGCAGAACAGTCTCAATTTATTTTCCCCTTTACATTCAGTGACCGCATTTGCTGAGAGAGTAGCCACTGCAACAACTCGAATATTTTTCCTTATCTCCAAAAAACCCCCACCCAAATCAAAAGTAATGGACAACAAAATCAAAGACAGACAGCAGTTTCTATTTAATTTTAAAATAAATGCAAGTTATACAATTTCTTGAGATTGATTGTAACAGAAGGAACCATGGAAATTAAGGCTATTTCCCCTCAAAAAAAAAAATATCTAAAGATGGCATCCAAGCAACTCCCATTGTAATTAGATTGAATCCTCCTCATGAATTCAGAGGTACAATGCTGAAGACAGGCTCCCAGAACCTCCTATTGCCAATGAAAGTTGGGAACACTGGGTTTTCAGAACCAGGTTTTTGGACTAGTTCCATCTACTTTTAAAGTGCATGGACTGTAGAAGAGTATGTGTGAGAATTGTATTTGTACATGTGCAAAACTGTATTTATCTTCTTCCCCAAAACTCTGTCTCACTTCAAATAACACACCTCCTTTCACACAGGGACAGAACCAGGATAACATTGTCATGAATTGTAAGTGCAAGTTTTCATGCAGTTCTTGAATTATGGAACATTGATGGCTGTCACATTTGTATCACACTAGGGGAGTTCATTGCTGATGTAACAGGCTAAGTCAACACATACATTCCTGTACACATCAGAAATGACAAAAAAAGGTGTAAGAATAGAAGGGTAATTTTGCTACAATCAAAAAAATGCAAAAAATTTCCGTTCTTGTTTCTGCTGATAGAAATCTAACTCATTGACCTTGTTTATGTCAACTCAAACACATCCTTTGGCCCCATTCACTTACTGGTCTGGTACTCTTCCATGCTAAAACTCTGCAAAATACAAACTCTGCCTCTTACTACATTTTCCAACTAGATTACACAGGCCTTATAGGAGTATTATTTACGCCATACCTGCACTGTACTCATTAACCTCTTCTATACTTACTTATGCATCATCAAGGGCTTTAGCACTAACTGCTCCTGAACCTCCTTCCTGTTGCTCTACTGCATTCTTCTGGCATCAATATAGAATCACCATGTCATCTAATCCTTCCACAGAGTGAAGAACCACTTAACCTGCATGAAATAATATGTAAGTAGAAATAAAATTTCCTAAGCCACAAGTCTAGCCTAAGACAGGAATTTGTTTTCAGGGCAATAGCTATTTTTCAGCAGATGCTCAATCTTTTGTAAGGCAGTTGCATAACAGCACAAAACTGGAACTTTTCCTTATGTAGAACATCACTGGGTTCCTCTGCCAAGAAAGGATCATGGAAATTCCTGCCCCAGCAAATACCCACTGGGATAAAAGAACAATTACCAATTGATGCATAATACAGCTAAGGTGAAAATATTTGCCTGTGTGCTCAAAGTTTATCCTATTGAAATCAGTCGGCACTGTTCCAACCTTCAAAACAGCTTAGAAAAGGGACTTACAAACAGAGATCAATAACAAAATTTCCCCACAGAATATAGATAAAACCTGAATTAAAACACATTTTAGTGCTCACTTTTTGGGCAACTCCTTGCAATACAATAATGGCAATATCCCATACAGGAATGTAATAAAGGAGGGATCAAGGATAGTTTCCTCCCAGTTAAGATGTATATAATAATTTTAGCTTTGATTTTTTTGCACTCTAAGCCTTGCTGAGCCAGGTCTTCCACAAAACCAGACAAAAATCTAATATTATGGAGGCATCATTATTTAGATAAACTCCCACTCAGGAGCGTGCTTTAAAATAAAAAAACCACTGAGGGTCTGAGGGCAGGGAAGGGGGATTATGAGGGGTGAAAGTAAGGATGGTGACCTCCAGATCCCAGTTTGAGTTGGAAGGGAAGAGACGTTCAGGAGTCAGGGGCTGACTGTGTTCCCAGGAGACTGAAGACTGTCAGTGTAGCACTGAAACCCACAGTTGCAGTTGCATTTAAAGTACTATCACAGGTAAATATGATGCCAGAGTCCATTCTCCAAACTGGTACATTTTATATCAGTATGAATTACCTCTCTAAAAAAATGACAGAAGCTACCCACAGACTTCTCTTACATAAATAATTAGGGAGGAAAGGCTTGATTCCAGAATTACACCAAAATATGTAAAAATATCCTTGTTAATATCACTGCAAACATCTAATACTTGTCATTACATGAGACAGACTTAATAGTAATACTGCAGATATCTAATACTTGCCATTAGAAAGTTGTAGAAATTAATCTATTGCTGAAATTTTACTTTTCATTCTTGAATATTCTAGAAGGGCCACATTCAGATAGGATTGGTGTCTTTCTTGTTAACAAAAGATGCAAGGAAACTAAGTGCAATTTTCTTGGCCTCGTTGTGATGGTAGTCTTCTCTCTTTAGTTACCAGCTGACCATGAGTCATAAACAAATTTTGCTGCTACTGTATCTTCAACCGCCATCCCTGCAAAAGAATTGAAGTCACCTTCAAACAGTTCTTCAGCTGTATAACATAATTTAGCTTCAGAAGGGAACAGAAGGACTCAGGAAATTACCTGCCTGGAGAGGAACAAGAACCTTTTCCCCATCCTAAACACCTACAGTGTTACATTCCAAGTTTATAGCCATTATATAACTGTTAAGTGTACTATATGAACTTAATGTAACAGTATGAATCTAATTTTCAGTGTTCATATCACACTTGGCCCTTTCAGACCTCTTTCTCCCCAAACATCAACTCCAGCCCCACAGTACATTGCCACATTGTTTGCAGGTCAGACGGACTCCAAGGGCTTAACAGCAGGGCGTTTTAGTTGGAGATGTACTTCTTCCTATTGTTTATTTGCTTTCCTATCACTTTTCATTACATCAGTCCTGCTAGATAAATAAGAAGGGAAATTAAACGGGAAAATGCAAATCACATTCTACTTTCTATTGGCCAGTGCATTGCCACAGCAGTTTTGAAGATGATCAGCAGCTTTCCCACGCATGGGGGACTGAGTAAATAACAAGGCATTGTTTTCTGTCAGACTTGTACACAGGAGGGGTTGTTCTTACCCAGCGATTTAAAAACTGTTGTTTTCTCAGGCAGGGCTGGTTTTGTACCCTTCACTACTTCTCCCAGCTCGGCAAAAATCTCTGCCTGTAAAACAAATACATATTTATACAAAATATAATATTTATACATACGTTAAGAAAAAAAAAAATATCTGAGTGACTTCAAAAGAAAGAATTCCTCTGGTTCTGCTACCCCAGAACTGATTCCTTTCCATGTTGAAGCAGATCAGTATTCAAAAAAATAATACTGAAATTGAACAGGAACTACAGAGGACCAGAATGGTTTTCAGAGAAAAACAACTGTCAGACGCTCCTCACTAAGTTGCAGTGGATAACCTATCCAATAAAACACATGGGGTTTCACACACTGTACCATATCTGGACCTCTTATGTTAAAACTCAAAAATGGAAATAATATTTGTTCTGAAAAAAACATTTAAAAAGAAAAAAAACACCACTGCGTTAAACCAAAAAACTCCCTGCTGTCAGATTTCTACAGATGACCAACTGTTTCCTTGGCTTGTGTTAATCACACCAAAACCTTATAGGAAGAAAGTTACAGGTTTTAGTAAATAGATTTGAAAAATATTTAACATAACTACCAAACATTGCTGGAAATGTAGGTCTTTCAAAAAACAATACGTTGCTATTGTACACAAAGGCCAATGCTGAAAACACGCTACTGTAATATGGGGTCATGTAATGGTTGATAGAGAGGTTGTGAGGTTTTGGCACAGACATATAGAAGTATCAGTTTGAAAACAGTTTATCTTTCAGCCTGTGCCTGGAAAGCGTTAACAACTAGAACTGATGCTCTAAAGAGCTTCAGTGCAACACATCATCAACCAAGCACAAGCCAATTGCCACAAAAATAAAGTCCATAATTTAAGACAGCCTTACCCCTGATAATATAACATCTCCCGATTCTGTAAGAGCAGCCTCTCTGGAATCCACAAACAGAACAGAATTCTTCATCAGCTCATCATCCAGTTCTCTCCAGTCTGGTCTGCTTGCTCCAACAGCTAAGACAACAAAACCGATGAACTTAGGAGGAAGGCTTAAAACAAATTTAAACCACATTTTGTCCAAGAGACATGTGTGAAGTAACAATGGACATTATTGTGGAACTGTAATATACAATCTGATGTTGGCACTGGAGACACACTGGTTGATAAAACAACAACAAAAAAAAATAGGATGTGCCTGAGCAACTGTGAGAAAGCCTGTGTTTCTCTCAACCTGGACTCAGCTGTAACACTGGCATAGATATAGCCTTTTTCTGTAAGGTGCCAACCCCCTGATTTTCCACAGCTTTTTATTTTTAAACAGAGTTAACTAACATCTAATACAGCTCCTCTAAAACATTCAATATTTGATTTGTCAATAGTATAGTCTTCTCAGCAGACTCTGAGTTGCAGAGACCCAACACAGTTACCTCCCTCTGTCCATTATCTCTTGTACCCTTGTCTTTAATCAGATCATTACCAAATGCCCTGAATTTTATAGTCCTTTTATTTGATTCACACCATATTTGTTATATGTCTATAGAGAAAAATCATATTTGAAGACTCCCTCAATTATCCTGAGCAGATGAGAACCAAAGTATTGTGCAACAAAGACTTGCACATGCAGACAGAGTTCAGTGTTACTAATTAGGATTTTTAAATCTATAGCCCTCTATTATTCCCTTGTAACCTTCTAAGCAGTACAAGTGGAGCAGATTATGGATTTTCACTTATTTGGAGAAACTGAAAACAAACCAAGGAGCTCAACTTTAAAAAACAGCAAGACCACCATCAACTTGTTACTTTTTTTTAAGTGACCAACTGCTACAGAATAATAAATTCCGTGTTGCCTGAATGTCTTTTCAAACAGCACAAATGCTTCAATGGAGGAAAAAAAAAGCCACAGAAAGGAGAGGGGTCTTTGTGTATGTGTCGCCTCAGTGACTGTAGACCTTAATTGATTTCAGTTGTACTTCTGGCTTCCATGCTGTGACATAATACAGACAACAACATTCAATGACAAAGGACTAAATTGAGTTTGAAAAATTGGTAGGATACTACTGGAATGTGGGACCTTTCTTTAAATTGTTCCCTTTCACAAGTTGTTTCTGTCTTATTACCACGCTATTTGGAAAGTGCACAAGGCCATCTGAACCAGGCCCACAATTAATAGAATAAACAAATTTGGGCATGTCCAGAGACTCCAAACAATAGTGTGACAACATCATTACAAGGCAGGCAAAAAAAAAAACCAAACCCCCAAACCTCACCATAATTAGAGGTCAAATTATGAAGGTCTTAACTCAGCTAATGCATCTTTCTAACTCAAGTAAAAAAAAAAAAAAAAGAAAAAATATCAATGTGATCAGACCAAAAAAGAACAAATAGAGAAGCTTACAAAACTGGGTGAAGAAGAGAGGACAACTCCCAGGGAAGCATTACAATGAGCAGGAATCACTTTGGAAATAACATGTTTGTATGGGTTATTTGAACAGGGAGCAAGGTGAGCATCAAGTGACAACACGGGGGCAAAGACGATGCACCACAAGGGGAAAAAAGCATATCCAATGCTTTCTCAAACATCCAGCGCTGGAATACACAGGAATTCTGGCTCCAGAAAACCAGGAAGACAGGTTTGGGAAAAGTGGTCCTTACTCAAGTAGAAACGTCAAACCAGAAAAAAAAAATAATTCTGAGAAGCAGATAGTACTGCTTTTCAACAATGTGATAATAAGTGTATACTTTAAATGGTGAGAACACGGCATACCATTGATATGGGCACCTGGTTTTACCCAGTCTCCAAATAAAATTGGTGTTGTTGCCATAGTGACTGTTACAATCACATCAGCCCCAGTAACTGCCTCCTGAGCAGAAGAGCAGACCTGCACCGGACCATTAACTGAATTAGCAAACTTCACTGCTTTCTCTTTGGTGCGATTCCATATTCTGACCTTCAAGGAGAAAAAAAAAAAAAAAAAAAAAAAAACAAAATATATTGGGAAATCCTTTCTACTATCTTCCCAGCCTCCAGCCACTTTTCTGGGACTTCACAGATCACATGTGCTTTCTAGGATTAAAAGAGAAATGAGATTCTGAAAAAAAAAAAAAAAAAAAAGACAAACATATTAGCTTGGAGAATTTCTCCTTGCTGAAACATGACACTTTGTTTCAGTCTTCAGTAGATAGTTAAACACATCCTAGAGGTGAGGTTTTTTGCCCCTTGAATGTTCTCATCATACAAGTGACTAGATTTCATGTGTGTACAGCTACATTTGAATGACTACTTCGTGATGCCAGAATAACAGCTCCTTGTAAAACTATAAAATCCAAGTATTTCCAATATTTAAGAGAAAGTCACAGAAAGCTTATTCAAGTATGGCATACACAGTAGCTTTTTCAGTCAGACCCAATACAACTTCATTGGCTGTACTTTACTTATTATAAGTGCTCCTGAAACATAATAGAGAAAAATAAATGTATCCTGTTAAGATGTGTCCATTACCTCTTTAAATGTGAAGAGCTCTGTGAAGATATCATAATGGCTATATGCTTGGACACCAGCTCCCAAAATGCACAGCACTTCTGCAAAAGGTGGCATTAACAACTAAAAAGTATCAAATATTAAGAAAAATAAGGACAACATATTAACAGATATGACAAATACATATCAAAATACTATTAAAGAAAACAGTATCATTAGTCCTTTAAAAAGTGTTTTTATGCAAAATATAGTGTTGATTCATATTAATATAAAAAAATATTCAATTACCACTATATATGTATATATTGTTTTTTTTTAAACGCAGAAGCTAGTGTCAATAGCACCAAATACATCTTGGTTTAATCTGGTTTTGAATTGTTCGACTTTTGAAATTCAGGCTTAATAAGTAACAGCACGAGCCAATGCAAATTCTGGAGCCTCTGCACGCTCTAATATTAGTATAATGTATTACACCTATGTGGCTAATTAAGTGTAAAACCATTGTGTTGATGTTCTGTGCTGGCTGAAAACAGGGCTTCTAATACCAAAGCTATCAGAACTGAAAGTGATAGCCTCATAGGTAAACTGGTCCCAGTAGCCCCACACTAAACCTTCTTTTTCAACTCATTGAAGCCATAAATCATACCACGAGCATATCTTGGAATTGTAAGACTCATAATATGTACGCATTAAGCATTGTAAAAAAAAGGATGGTTCTAAGAAGCAAATATTAAAATTCAGTTCTGCAGTTGCTTTTGGTTTTCTGGTTTACTTCTTGCCTGTGATTCACCAATACTTGGCAAAGAGGAAGAGAGAGCTGCTGGAGTCCAGCCCTAAGCTATCCTTGTGTCTTGTTTATGCATTTGCTGTGGCCATTCACTTCTGTATAAAAAGCTTTCTAATTGTCTAGGCTCACAACACTTATTCTGCTGCAAATATATTGAAAAAAAAATCTCATTGATCCTGTTTTTCAGCAGCAAGAACTCTTTTTAATTTTCTTTTCAAGGACTCTGAAGCACTGATTTCAAAGGTTCCTTGCATAAAAGCATGGGTCTTTGAAAAGCAAGTGGCATAAAGAGAACAAGATGACAACTATGAGCTAAACTCAAACACTTCTGAAAACTTCCCAAAACAGCAGACGGCAATGAAGGATCTGATCTTGAAGTCCCTTCAGCAGCCAAGCTCCTTTGAGGACAGCAGAACCAGACTGTGTAAAAACTGTCAGAACTGCCCAAGTATAGAACAACTGAGATGAATGAGATCCTACAACCTCATGTCTGAGGAATCCATTGTACCTTGTTCTGTCCCTTGGACCAGGGGAAGCTCTAGGGGACAGGTTCTTCACTCCAATTTTATGTCAGTTTAGGTCTATTGCCACAGATAGAGTCATGCTGGCATGAAGGCTGCCACTAACAAAGTGGTGAGATCACCCTTCATTCTGATGCAAAGCTGATGGGTGAAAAACAGAATTATTTTTCAGCTCTGGCCCTCTTCTTATTGCCTCATCCTTTGAGTTGAGGACTAAAGCCTTGCTATGCAATGGATGATGACTTGCTCTCTTTCCACTATCAGCAGCCCAACCAAGCATAGTTTTAAAAAAAGAACCCAAACCCAACAATTTCCAACTGAAATTGAAATGATGTAAAGCAACATACAGCAAGATACACCTCACCTGTCTTAAGACACTGAAATTTATGGCTGTAGTGAGGCACAGTCATCTGGACAACTTCCAGTGACAACAGAGAAGCTGACAGGCAGCTTTCTCTGGACAAGTTATCTGGGTATCATCTCTCTTAAGAGGACCTATTTTGTCGCCTGAAAATGTGCATTTTCCTTTTTTTTCCTCCAGGTCCAGTGCAACCCACCTGTCCTGCTCCAACAGCAGAAGACATACATCTAAGCAAAACTGAGTTTATCACCACAGCTGCATCACTCAAAGCTGTAAAGGAGCATATTAAGACAAGCACAAAAGAAAATGGCAGAGGAAGACACCTCAGTAAATTGCCAGAAGAGCACAAACAAGCCACAAAAACATAGCTCAGATTCCTTCTCCAATCATGCATAAAATGTTAAAGCAAGACACAACTCAATCAATCAAGACAGAAAACTACATTTTTAAGTTTTGCCTGAAGATACATATGTTGCCATAAATCTAATTTAAAGCAGTATTTGATGAAAAGTCACACACGGCATTTACATCATTGCCCCTAGTTATTTTATATATAACACCACTAACTGATTCTGTCCCGATTTAGGAAATAGAAGACATACCTTAGTAGCAATTGCAGAAACTGCAGCTGTTCGTTTTGCTGTAATGACACTGCCATCTAGGACCTTTAAAAAAAAAAAACCAACAAAAAACAATAGTTCAAACAGACGCGTTAAGTAAATACCAAACATTTTTATCTCATTTGTACATTACGTGATATTAGAGAGCACAGATAAAAACATAAAAGTTGATAACCACTATCATAGCAACCACAAACCATGTAAAATCGCATGTTTAAACTGGGCAGATTCTGTCTATTCTAGTTCTTCCATGTCATTCCACCAGCACAAATGGAGTGAAAACTGGTCAGAGCTGAGCCACCCCTAACTCTCACAACTCTTCATGCACTTCCCTGGCTCTCCAACACAGGGAATCGACTGACACAAGTGCAGTACTCCATACTCCAGTGCACGCTGGCATGCTGAGACTGCGCTGTCTTGGTCTGTATGAAGGGATGACAGGGAACCATGGAATTCCTTTAATGTGCATCACTCACAGGGGGACACTCCTGCCTCAATGTGTATTAACTACTGCATACAAATGAATTAGGGGGCTTAAAAATTGACACAGATTTGGAATAGAGGCCAAATAGTTTTCTTGACCAGTTTTGGCCCTTTAATAATCATTGTTATTAAAGTGCAATGCAATACTCATAAATACTCATAAAAAATTCTTAAATTCTTTAAACAAAGAAAAAACAAATCAGACTCCCAGTACTGTTCCCTGCAATGCCAATTGTAAATCTCCTTTGATTTAGGCTTCAGATGGTTCAAGATCAACTCCTTATTCAGCAACGCATTGTTTTCTTTCAAATGAAAGGTAAACTTTTCCTGATCATTTCTCTCTTCCAGTCATCCTGTGAGCCATTAGATTCCCTTCAAGTCACAAGTAGCAGTAAAGAGCAGGGAAAGAGCAATAAAAGATACAATGCTTTTGGCCAAACCCTCACATGGCACAAACACATTTTCATTCATGATGTAGGTAAATTCAGGCCAATTTACACCAGCTCCAACTTCTAAGAATCAGGAGGGAGAACTGACAGAACATGAAGAACACAGAAGCATACATGAAACTCACAGCTTTTAAAGAACCATTGCTTGGCTCAAATAAGAGGACTGTTGCTTGGTGAGAAGGGACAGAAGAATCCTTCTTGTGCTCGTAAAAAGTCACCAACTTGGTTGTCAGAGCATCGTCTGTGGCACTATAAGCAGGCATGACTCCTAGGAACCTTGTAAAAGAATTACTTATTTTACTTACATACCCTCAGCACGTGAGCCTACAGCACTGGAGTGGTTAGCACCGAATCGCAACTAACCCGTTAATCAGTAACTCGGTACCAACGACCTTTTCCGATGCTCTAACTCCTTTTCCCCCGTCCCTTCCCCACCGCAGCCCCGACTCTGGCTCCCCGCGTTCCTCGCTCCAAAGGGGCCGCACCTCCTCCCGGGGCTCTGCCCGGCCGCCCCTCACAGCGCCCACCCCACCCGCCCCGCCGCCGGGAGGGCGGCCCCGCTGCCCGCCCGCCTCACCCGCCGTGCCGGTGCACCGGCACCACCGTGCGCACGGGCTGCACGACGCCTCCCGCCGGGCCGGCCGAGAAGT